TCTCTCTCTCTCTCTCTCTCTCTCTCTCTCTTCGTTAATAAATTATAAAATATTTTGATAATAAACGAGAGATTTGTTTGAAATTTCAGTAATAGAGAGAAATTCATGACTGAATTGTGAATTTCAGGCATGAATTTTGCAGACAAAACACAACTAAAAAATATTAATAATTATCGCATCAAATTTTTAGAGCCCATAATTACCTCATTCATTGAATTTGCTTTAAAATTCTTTACAATAATCATAATTATGGCAGTGTTTGGCTGTAAAATCGCCAAACTATATGTTCACGACTCATAGGGAGAGTAGTTTGTCATTGAAATTAAATACTGTTTTTATGCATTGCTTTTCAAATGATAATTAAAATAAACGATTGAATAAATATTTCAAAACACAATACATTGAGAGAGAGAGAGAGAGAGAGAGAGAGAGAGAGAATTGGAAATAATTCAAAATAAAACACACGCTTTTCATAAAAGTTTTGAATCATTTTAAAAGCATAAATATAATTACAATTGAAAAACGTTTTATCATAATAAAAATAGTCAATGATTTACTACCTAATAAAGCAATGTATGCAAAAAACAATATTTTTATTATTATTGTGAATCATTAATAATTAAAATAAATCTTATATAAGTGTGTGTTTTGAATGCCTCAACCTTTTAAGCGTTTCCTCAATTAGTAGTTTCATAAATAATACTATTTTTATAATAATGTGTGAATTTTAATTAATTTTTTTATCAGACACTCTATGCATAAATACATTTATAAAATATTGTTTGTTTTAAAACACATAAAATATAAAACAATAACCAATAAATCAAAATCTGAGTTAAAACATTATACCTTTTATTAAGACTTTGCATTAATCTAATTATGCGTTTAATATATCAAATAAATATATGAACATATTTTTATATTGAAACTAATTTAGCAAAATATGCGTAAATAATATTAGAGTATTTAGTAGTTGCATAACTGGTGTTTAAAAAATTGTATGAAAATTATTTAATTTAAACTTTGATTAAATTCAATATTGAGTTACATATGAAAAATGTGATGCTTTCATGTAAAGTATACATATTTCACTTATAAAGTACACCAAATGTGAGAAAAACAGTTATGAGTATTAATAGCGGAGACATTACTTCCGATAATTATATTTTTGAAGCGCAAGTTGTTATCACCGCTCAAATGATATTATAATTTTCATTATTATATTACTTAACTTATATTTAATCGTATTTCTCACATATTAAGCATATTTTATTACAAAACACGAGAGAGAGAGAGAGAGAGAGAGAGAGAGAGAGAAAATGGATTGGAGGAGTGGAAAGTTTAAAGAATATTCTTTTATAAAAATAATGTTTTGCACATATTATACAAAATCAAGACAAACCTTGGCTTAAATTTTCACTATTCATAATATGAAGGCCCGATTGTTGTTGTAATTTATCATTCTTGTTGTAAAGTATGAGTTGTGCCTCGTTTTTGATTTTGTAAAGTCTGGATATGGTTGAAGTGCACCGGAGGGTCATGTGGCCAGAGGTGGTCACAAAGTGTTTCTCTTGGGCTTTGAATCTCAGGCTAAGACTAGACGTCTCTAAGCCGTCGGCGTGTAATGTTGTGCTGTACTCCACGGTATGGTCCGCACCGACCTATTCATACATATCATACCAATTATGAAAACAAATTACTTGAAAATTAATGCAAATCTTTATTATAATTGTTGCCATAATTCATACGAGAAGATAAATTTCCTTAATTATGCCATTTTATTAATCAGTCGACCGATCATTATATGCAAAGATTATTGTTTATACAGAATAATAATCTATCAAATTATGCAACAGTTCTCCCCCTTATCTTTGCCTCTCTTTCTCCCATCACTACACAAGTGAATGCAAATTATTATCATATGATTTGATTGTCTCTAATGTTTAAATTTAATATAAAAAACGTTAGAATAATTGAACGGAAGAAATATAAGTAAAATTGACTGAAAAATCGTGAGTCAACGCAAACAATAAGCCCTAAAAAAGCAAACAATTGAAATCAAAACAGAGGGAAAAACTAATAAAAAGTTTTGCCTAATATTGCCATTTAAGCCGAAGGTCTTATTGAGTTATAAAACAGCCCAAAAAACGGTAGATTTAAAATGCATTAAATATATTGAAATGAATGGAAACACAACTAAACATCACTCACCGGCTCCTCATTAATGGTAAAATTAAGATAAGCCCCGGGTTTAGACTTGGCTGACGTGCAGTTGGCGACCACGAGTTCCCCGGGAAGGTATGCCGTTTGGCCGCCGCCCGTCGATATCCGCGGCCCTTCCGATGGCAGTACTGTATCGTACGGTAAGGTATGGTATGATATGTGTATTGTATGGCATTGTGTGCATCAGTGGATCGGATGAGAGTATGGATGGGAAGGCAAAAGGGATGACAAAATGAGAGATAAATATAAAATTGAAAAAAATTGGAAGAAAGAAATCACATGTAATAGAATTTGTGTTAAATAAGTGACCCGTATATACAACTATACGGCACACATACAGTACTGTACAGTCTATACTCGGTATTTGTGTAAAAAACCCAATGCCCGCGATCTGTTGGAGCGGAATATTTCCCATTTGCCGCTTAATAGTATGATTCCTATTATTTGCTCTCTCTCTCTCTCTCTCTCTCTCTCTCTCTTATCGACAATTTGTTGTTTATTTTCCTGTAGTTAGAGACGAGATCTCACTTTTATCGCTAAAAATAGTCGGATATGAATAATGCGTCCGTTATTTCACAGCTTCCGAAACCGACAGAATTATAGGCAATAAGTTTAGTGCCGTTCACTTCGCTATCGCTCATCAATTTTGCCCCCTTTTTATCAACAGATAAATAGGGAAAGGGTTTATATAATAACCGGTTAACTTCACTCAGTTATAAATTTAAATCGTTTAATCTATTTAAATAAGCTGTTAATATATGGTGTAATAGGAAGTTTTGATTAGTTGATTGAGATATCATTTATATAAGTAATAGAATAATTGTTCTTACAGTTCTTTTGATAAAATATAAATAATTTTGACATGTTTAACTTTTTTATATCTACATATCTATGTATTATAATACTGTATTTGTATGTTATTGTATTTTTCCATTAAAAGCACATAAATGTGATCATTGAATGCAAGACATATCCTAATCTATATTCTCATAGATTTCTTATTAATTATGATTTATTCTTTAACTTTTATTTCAACAATTTTTTGTAATATTGTGTTATATCTGATCATAGGTACAAAATGTATCATAATGTACAATATTGCCCCTAAAACAGTGAATATAATGTATGACATTATATAATATTTAGGACATATAACCATTTTAAATCGATAATCATTATTACAATACTTGTATTAATAATAGAAAACATAATTGTATGATTCATCTTTAATATCAGCTATGATAAAATTTAAGATACATTTTAGCTTGTTAGATTTGGTCATGTGTGGTACAGAGTTTGCTATTTCTATTCATTTACTTATTGGAAGCAATATTTTGTGGTGAACTTTAAATTATTAACAAAACCATCTAGTATATTGTTAAATTTATAGTTTTCAGTTTTATTCTCTAGAAAGTATAACTGCATTTAATGTTACTTGGTGTAATTTAATTTTTGCAAACTATGTTGCAATTGTTTGCAAAGCGTTATGATGAATTGCGTCCAGGTATGCTTTTAAGTTTATTGTGCATAACTATGTGCATTGCGGTCAATATATTCCCTGGTGAATTTTTAAACATATTCTAGTTAGTTAAAGGTTTAGCAAAAAAAAAACTTGTGGTTATTTTTTAGGTTTACATAAAATCATAATCTTTTTTCAAGAATAATGCCTTCAAAAGTGAGCGAACATTAGAGTTGCTAAAGAATTTTGTGACAAAAATTGCTTATTTATGTTCACTATTATTGATAGACACGGCATATAAGACGTGACGGATTTCTTGTTAATGTCATATAAGGCTACAGAATATTCTCCAGTGATTGACAACTAATTCGATGGTTAGGATAGAAGAGACTCTGTATTTGGAGTCAAATATAATACCGACTAATATAGTCTACCATATATTAAATATCGTCTCTCTCTCTCTCTCTCTCTCTCTCTCTCCAAAACTAACTTTAAAAGAAATGTCTCTCTCTTTTCAAATCATAAAACATCCGAAACGTCTGCTATTATATTGCGTTAAAACAGATTTTTTTTCTTCACTCGCTTTTATTTCTTATTATAGTTTTTGCTATTTTTTCGTGAGATTTAAACTCTAGATTATTTGTTAGACGGGGAGAGAAAATAGTTGGGCATTGGATTCGCGTTTATAATATAATAATAATCTCTAAAAGTGTTACAAAACGGCTACAAAATCTCAGTTATAAGTTATATATACATAAAAGTTAACTCCGAATAAAGAAAATACTTTATCTTATAGTTTAAGTTAAGTTTAGGTTTTCGTAAAAATAGTTGATTTTCTTTAAATACAGTTAAAGAATATAACAAAAAAGTAGTGAAATAAAGAATATTCTGTTTAGAATTTTATTACCGTTTATCACCAAATAGTCTTCAGCGGCCGCCGTATTAAAGCCTAAATAATAACAATAATAAATAAAACACATTAAACACATATAAAAATTTGTTTCCAACTAAAAAATGCAATAAAAATAAAACACAAAATGAAATGAAATGGGAGTTTCGTATATAAAGTTATCAAAACGTGTATAACTGTATAGTTGTATATATGATAAAACATGACTTACTGGGAGCCTCGGCACTGATCTCGCATCTGTACTTTCCACTAGTGCTCAGATTCACGTTTTGTAGATATACTGACATCTTATCCGATCGCGAAAGCTATTGAAAGCACCAAAAATTACACACATTTAATACAACAAAAAAGCAGTAATTGTTTTAGAAATCAATCAGTTTTTAGCATTTTCTTTAACTCTTTAATAGTTATGTTTGATTTCAAACAGTAATCAAACAACAGTGAAAGAAACATGATAAATGCTACTAATATTTTGTACATGTTATATTAACTTAAGATATAGAACAAAGGGATGATAAGGGCCGGTAATGTGGGGTAGGGATGAGATGACATACAGTATATGCAAAAAACAAATATACTTACATCGACTTTGATGCCGGGCATCGCTAAATACTGAGCCTGTGGCCAATCGCGAGGCACATATCTGTGCGTTGGTTAAGATTTATTGTTAGATATGTGTATAATTTAAATTAATTATTCACATTATAATACAATAATAATAAATCTTTATTATAAAAATCCCATTCACTCAATGGATACATACCTATAAAATTCGTAACCATTTTTATACCTAAAATGAAAACATCAAGAATTAAATAAAATAATGTTAGGAAATGTTAGGAGAATATCTAAAAGGAGTTTATTTTATGATTGCATTGATATCTGACATAAAGCCCATCGAAAATAGTGAGAGTGAGATATATATCAATAAAAATGTTTATTTGATTTTTATAGATAATTACCATTTAATAGAGTAGAGTTTGTCGTTCTCCAAGTCATAACTACACCTAAAAAACACAACATATAATCAAGATTTACCGCTAATACCCGACAATCGATTGCCGCAAATGACATATAATGCATGTATTGTTACGGACCCCGCGATTAGGGTTTTTATACACACATTAGATGTGTATTTGAAAAATAAATAATATATTTGTTTTTACATTAATTCCACTGATTCGCCGGCCATTGAAGGACTGGGTATGTCTAACATCATTATACGTAGCGCTGATGCCATTGCAATCGCCGTTATTATTATTACTGCAAAAACAGATAGAAAGCACAGTTAGATATTGGAGAGGGAAGAGACTGAGAGAGTGGTTATTATCGGCTGCCTTTGGCCAGTCATCACAACAATGTCACAACACTTTTTGCTTATATACAACACACTTATATATTATATTTATTTGATTGTAGTTATCGAGTGCTCCCAAACATTATATTCAATTTAATATTGCACTCAAACTCTATATTCCAGACACTATTTACTCAAATGTGAAGCAAATACACAACTCTTAGGGAGATTGCGAGAGAGAGAGAGAGAGAGAGAGAGAGAAAATGGATTGGAGGAGTGGAAAGTTTAAAGAATAT